GTCTTGTGTTTTCTGCGCTCGATTCGATCTTAAATAACTTGGCCAAGCCAAAGTCGGAGATCTTGGGTTCATGTCTGCGTCTAGCAAGATGTTGCCCGGCTTGAGATCACAGTGGATGATCGTCAGCCGTGAATCCTCGTGAAGATACAGAAGCCCTCGGCTGATCCCTTCGATGATCTTATACCTTTGCCCCCAGCTTAACTGCTGTTGCGTTTTAGGATCTTATACGACTAGCCTGTTCGCTTGGTCGTATTTAGCTTATAAGTATGGCTTATCAGCCGACGAACAATATTTTTCTCTCACCCCAAATCAGTCAACAGTATTTTCAGCTATGTCTTATGATCCAAATAAGCCCAAACCAACAGAAAGTTTGTAGACCGGTCCAAAACCCCCTTTCCCCAGCATATTTTCTTCTGAAAAGTTGTCAGTGGCAGCCCGCAGAGTACCTAGATCGTACTGGAGAGTTTCTGAACCTCTCATTTCTTCGTAACCTCCATATCCTGTTTATATAAGATCAAGGAAATGAAAGAGTCAACTCAAATCTGAAGGTTACAGCACATTGTTCCAAAGATACGCTGAAGTTGTTTCAGCACATACGGTTGTTTGTAGTTCTGTTCTTGCAGATACAGACGGCAAGAAGAAGCAGCAGCAGCAGCAGCAGTGTGAGAGCAACAGGAACTGAGACGAGGAGAGCTGTATTCCTGACCTTGCGCCGACTGCTTCCTGGGCCTGACGTGGTGGAAAATTCAGAACGAAGCTGTTTCGACCTTCTTCGAATATGTTTTTTTAAGGGAATTGCTCCGGGACTCCTCTTTATAAAAAATTGTGCGCATCTCAAAGCAGCTCATTCATCAATAAATTATTTTTCTATTATTTTGCACCTGGGTGCTGCATGGGCCTGGCCCGTCCAAGCCTAACCCGTGCCCAGAAAGCCAGAACTGATTCAGAATGAAAGTCACGCGTCCAGGATTGAGATCCCGATCCTGCCTGCTTGCCGGCTTCCAGACGAGTTGGCCGCGAGACGAAAATGACATAACGCATGGAGCCGGCTGTCCGCTGGATTTCCGCAGGGGCCCGGAGAAGGGTGCGGCGGAGCACGGTTTCGCAGGGATCGGAGGAGGCAGTGAATGTGTTGTGTTGCCTGTCTGCCGGATTCTAGACGACTCATCCGCAAGGAAACGCGAGAGGCCTTGCACACGTGCGTGTGCGTGACTTTCCCTGGATCAGAGATGGGCTTGACGGGCTAGGCCCATGCGGAACCCACGTGTAACAAAATAATAAAATATTAATTTATTTATGGAACTGGTTGCTTCGAGATGCGTATAATTTTTAAAAAGAGGACTACCGGAGCAGTTTTTTTTAAATGCCTGGAGCTCTCTCTTTCACTTACATGGAAAAGAGAGTTTTAAACAAAAATATAAGCCCCGGCGGCACGGCACAGTAGACTGGGCTCCGAATATGACCCGTCATTGTCAAACTGTATTTCGTGACTCCTTTCTGAGGAACATCCAGGCTATAACTGAAACTGAACGTGAAGTGTTGGGGAACTATAACGGTGCCATCTTTTCTTGTTTAGACACATAACCGAAACTTAATGTGAAGTGTTAGGGAACTATAACCTACTCCATCCGTTGCTAAAAAAGAGTCATTTTAGGAATCATGTTGGTCTCCGTTATGGCCCTAGTCATTGACTCCTGTCTTCTGGGGGCGTCGTATCGGAGTTGGTAACCGCCCCCAGATCGTCGATCGCCTGGTTAGTCTCGTGGAGTTGGTGGCTACGCCCCCGGGCTGCAGGGTCGTGGCTCCTGTCGGATTGGATGGCCTCTAAGCCAAAGCGTCCATCGTGGATCCCATCCCGTAGTGGGTAGGAACGTACGTATGTCTTGTTGCATCGTATTTGGACGGTGGGTTGCCGTATTGGCCGTCACCGTGGGGCGGTGTTCTTGGCGCAGGGATGGCATCTGACCGGACCGAGGTGACCGTTGTCGCCTCGGTCCTTGCAGGGTCAGTGCGGCATGTCTACTCTTATCAGAGCAGGCGCGCTTGACTGGGCTTGACCTCTCCCCGTTCCTCCCGGGGGCCGGGACGGTGTTGAGGTCGTGAGTTTCTCGTGCGTCGTGCGGCTAAGGCAGAAAGGAGGGGTCGTGGCTGACCCTATCCTTGGCGTCTGGCCTGGTTCACTTGGCTCAGCTAGGCCTCGGTCGTTCGGGCCTTCGCTAGCTGATGTATCTTGGGCCGCTCGGTTTTCTAACTAATCGATGCTTTGAGATATCCGAGGATTATAACCCCGATATTATGTATGTTTGCAATGGTTTTCAAGTGTTTTTGCAAGTATTTCAAAAAGCTTGTTCCAAGTGTTTCATCTGTCTTTTTTGTACGTTACAATTGTTACATCTGAATGTTTTAAAAGTAGATCAGGTGTTACACATGGGATATGTGTGTGAAGCTGGAGAGGACGCGAGCGGTCGCCGTGGGTGACGTTCGGCAGTGCGGCCCCCCGCGTGGCAGCGAGACACAGGCGTGGGCGAGCAACGTCCAACCAGCACGGGCCCATGCATGGATGCGGTAAAACACACCGCGCACGGACGCCGCACATGGACGTCCAGGCATACGCATTTATCCGGACGTTCAAGCGCTAGCCATGCCGAAAAAACAAGCACGATGGCAATGATCCGTCCTCTCCCTCGGGCTCGTGTCTCCCGTGCCACATCGGTCGTCTCGCTGCCGCCGGTCTATATCCCAGCGTCCTTCATCCTCCCTCTCTCTGTCAATCCCGCGAGCTCCAATGCTGACTGCATGACTGAGCCCACTGAGCCCAGGCCGCTTTCGCAGGAGATGACGCCGTCGCTTCCGCTGGGGAGTGTCAAATTCTCCAAACCCTAGGTCCTCATTTCTTAGAAGTTGCCTTGAGAGTTTTCACTTGGTGGTGTTTTTGTCAGTTGTCACTATTATCATGAATTGCAAATGTCTACATGTCAACGTACAACGGGGCTTTCAGCTTGAAAACTTGTCATTGAAGTAGTCTTTATTTTACTTGGAGCTTCTCTTCCCACCGGTCCACCACGAATAATTAATTTTGTCACCCGAAACTACTTCGAAACTCATTTTTTCTCTGAGACCAGTTCTTCGGTTTGTGTGGTTTTCCGTTGATGAGAAGGAGAGCAAAACGCCACAACCAAAGAACGAGGGTAAGATCTTTCCAGGAACGGGAGTGAAGCTACGACGATGTCAACATGGTGGAGAATAGAACGGCATCGTAGAAATGGGAACTGGGAAGAACCTCACACTGCAGTATGGTTAGTCCAAGCTAATAACTCTTGTGATGGTACGTGTATCTTAGATCTAATTAATCAACGACAATGACTGTAATAACTCTTGTGAGAATGACTCTTTTTCAGGACAGATGGAGTATTTATTAGTATTTGTGATGTGTATCCTTTTTTTGCATTTTTTAAGGCCAATTGCATCAGAAGTTTCATTAAAGTTTTATCAGAGTTTCACCTGCATTTAATAGGTTGTCACATATGCCTGTTATTGACATGACAACGTTTTTTTTAAAAGAAAGAAAGAAGAAGTGAGTTTTATTGAAATGAAACTTTCTTGATTTGGTTTTTAACTCTAGATTAATCACAAATGAAATGTATATAAAACTAAAGAATGAAACTATGTATTATGGGAGATTGTTTCATCCATGTTTTATTGCATTTTATATTCTTGGAAATGACACTAAACTCTCCATTGAGAATGACATAAGTGACGGTCTCATGCAATGTATCCAGAAAATCTAAAATGTATAATTTAGAATGGAGGGAGTAGGTACTGAAATAGTTGAAGATATGCTATAGATTCGCTCTACTCTTTTTCAGGAGTCAAAACACACTAGTACATAAAACAATTTAAATTTAATGACCTGTCTTTGAAAATCGATTAACAGAGCTCGCCTTCGTCATTGGTTTTCAGAAAACCAAGACCTATAACTCAACACTAACACTTTCGCACCACTACAACAACAAAAAATCACTTATATATATATATATATATATATATATATATATATATATATATATATATATATATATATATATATAGGGAGAGGCTTCTGTAGCCGGCTATAGAGTTTGTTCTTCTGTGTCCGGATGCCTGGCCGCACCACCCTGGTGCGCATCCCGACCAGCCCAGGTGCCACGGCTTCGGAAGCCAGTAATTGCCGAGCGAGCCGACCAAAAATAGTAACATTAGAATTCGAGCCAGCCGATAGAACATGAGCCGACAGCATCAAAGCGCCAAAGACGTAAATAAATGATGATCCCAAATCAGCGCTACTGGAAGGCTTTGTCCAGTAACTCGTACTATTGTATACGAGAAAGGGTGCAAGCGAGTATATATGACATGTGTGGTAACTCGTAATATTGTATACGAGAAAGGGTGCAGCGATACACATGCAAGCTATGTACGGAGTATCAGTGGCGGATCCCGGTGGGGGGAGTGGTTTTACTTTGTATTTATAGTAGAAAAAATATGATTTCACCATTAATCTTCGACATTTGTTCTAAATTTCTATTGATTAGCCCCCCGAGGTGCTTATCTTGGCTCCGCCACTGCGGAGTATATACGAGATGTGTGGTAACTCTAATATTGTATACGAGAAAGGGTGCAGTCGATACTAAGTATAAAAAAATTCTAGTAACCAATAACAAAAATCTACACTAAGTATAAAAAAAATCTAGTAATCAGTAACAAAAATATACTGTATGTAGTAAGCATGAACCAATAAGCAGTGGCTGTATCGTGTAGATCTCGCGCAGTTAGAGCCTGCAGTTCACAATACGTCATTTATGCAAAAGTCACTAGTGCAGCGGCCACTCCGGCATTTATTCTCTTTGTGCAATATAATTGGTGCTAACTTCTCGCGTGTCTAAATGTTGCTGCAATTGGACGGGGCGTGACTAGTCCATCATTCTGTTTTCAGTGCTGACGATTCAGGTTCCACGAGTCTCGTAATGCCGCCGACCCATGGATCACCCACTCCGTCGTCCTCTGCGGCCGGAGAGGCATCGACGTCGTCGTCTGTGCTAACTCCAGTTCAGCCTGTGGCGCCAGCGTCGGTGCCGGTAGCAAATCCTGTAAGCCTTGCTGAAGTGACTCCGCTACGGACTGTCTCTCCAACGACGATGGTGACGCCTGATCAGCAGAAGACGTACATGCATATGCATGTGAGTTAACTTGTATTAGCGTTATTCAAAATACTGACCTCTATGGTTTAACTTGTAACTTGTTGTTTAATGTGAATCAGGATCCCTTGTTGATTGAAGAAATTGTGCCCAATGAAGAGCTGCGTTTTGAGAGCAGAGATGAAGCAGAGGAGTTTTACAAGTTCTATGCGAGTAAGGCAGGATTCGACGTGCGCATAACCAAGACTATGAAGATGGTTTTGGAGATGAGTTGCAATAAACAAGGGCACTGGGATTATTATAAGCCTGATGAGGAGAGAATTCGAGAGAAAATGTCAATGAGGTGTGAATGCAAGGCATTTGTGAAGGCTAAATGGAACTAGAAGAAGGGATATTGGTTTTTTGAGAGGATACAGTTGGAACACACTCACCCATTGCATCCATCGCCGAGCTTAACACAATATATGAAGTCACACAAAAACCAGGACCCGACAATCATGGGGATTGTTGACCAGATGCATAGGTGTGATGTTCCCCTGAATGCAACAGTAAATGTGTTGTCAGACATATATGGCGGTCGCCAAAACTTCACATTCACTGAAAGGGACCTGAAAAACAGGTAATGTATACAGTAATGTATAACCAAATGATATTAATTGTCAAATCAGTAATGGGAGTTGCGTGATGTTACAATTTCAGGAAAGCTGCAGTGGCCAAGGCAGAGAGGGAAAATGATATTCCCAAGTTGCTCGAGTTCTTCAAGGAGATGAAGGCCCATAATGAATATTTCTACTATGATTTGCAGGTGGACAGTGAGAACATTGTCAAGAATGTGTTCTGGAGTCATGCAAGCCAACGTGCAGAATATAGAGATTTTGGAGATGTCGTTACATTCGACACCACATACAAAACTAATATGTATAACATGCCAGTAGCTATGTTTGTCGGTTCGAACCATCAACTACAAAATGTCGTGTTTGGGCAAGCACTTTTGCAGGATGAGCAAGCTGATACATTTGAGTGGTTGTTTCAAGCATTCCAAGACTGCATGTTAGGGAGTCGAGATCCTAGATGTATACTTACAGGTGAGAAGATGACCCTTGCAATTAAATGTATTGTTGCTGAAATACATGTAGGTTAATGTTTGGTAACGTTATTACTTTTCTTGTTTCTGTTACAGACCAGGATAGCGCGATGGCTGCCGCAATCAAGAGGGTGTTTAAAAAAACACAACATAGGTTGTGCCGTTGACACATGCTGAAGAAGTATCGAGCTTAAGAAATTGTATAAGTTGCATGAGGGTCTGAAGATAAAGTTGCTAATAGTAATCAATCACCCACTTACGCATATCGAGTTCGAGGCAGCCTGGAATGAGCTGGTAGAGGAGTATGGCATACGGGAAGATGAAACTATCAAGGGTCTTCGGGATAGTAGGAAGTTGTGGGTTGCAGCTTACTTCAAACCCTTGTATTGTGGAAGGATGACGTCTACACAAAGGAGTGAAAGCGTGAATAGGATGCTCAAGAGCCGGCATTTCACAGGCCACATGACATGCATGAGCAAATTTGCCCGAAAGATGCTTGAGTTCATTCAACACACAAATCACACGGCGGCCGGAGAAACCCATTGGTCACAGGTAATATCGTAAGTTTTTGGTATAACATAATTAATTAGTTGCAAAATGTGTTGTGTACAAATGGTTTGTAATTACTAGAAAGGTTTATCTGCTGCTTGTGTTAGCTAAAATTTTTAGGTGATTGTGTTTGAAACAGGTTGATAACTTTCGATTGACGTTGCAACACTTCGACATCCATTTGAGCAGGGTGTACACATGGGCTGTCTACAAAAATATAGAGATACTTATATATACAGTACTGCATTCCGTATTGACTCAGATGCAGACAAGGCTGATAGTTTCCTAGTGACACACACAAATCACTCGTGGAAATATTCATGGTTTCAACATTCTTTCAAAGTGGAGGCTAATGTGGAAGAAGGTAGATACACATGCGATTGCAAGACATGGGAGCATACAGGTGAGTGAGTTTGGGAAAAGGTCACGTCTTTCATTTCTCATGATTATATTATGTAAGTAAAGGTGTTAATGATTAGTGCATGTTTGATTCTTTCAGGCTTGTTCTGCGCCCATCTTATTAAAGCTTTCACCAACCTGTAAATTGAAAATATACCTTCAAAATACATAATGAAGAGATACACCAGAGATGCGAGGATGATGGTAACTTGGGACAGGCATGACATAGCTAATATGGGAACAGATTGTGAAGACGAGAGGTACGCAACAAGAAAGTTGGTAGATTTAGTAATGATGGCCGTAAGGGCGCTCCACAAAACAAGTATTGGGGTTGAGAGAGGAAGCAAGGATCTGCAAGCATTGGCTGAGTGGGGTGAATCAGTTGCGGTAGGTACTGGACCATCGCAGATGGGGGATCTTAGAAACGAAGAAAATGTGTCAGATGGAATAAGAGGACCTGAAGTTCCTGCGGTCGATGAAGTAGTGGCAAATGATACTGAAGAGGATCCTCATTCTCCTGCAATTAGAAAAGACAAGCTAATTTCGGAATGTGCGCCAAAGGGTGCTAGTACAAAGGGGAGGAAGCGCAAAGGGAAACAGATAGTCTGAGTTGAGACTTCTAACAAGAAAGCAACGGGGGTACGGAATTTTGGCCATTGTGGATTGAAAGGTCATTATAGTACAAGTTGTGAATTAAACCCAGACAATACAACAACAACAACATCAAAGCCTTTTAAGTCCCAAACAAGTTGGGGTAGGCTAGAGTTGAAACCCATCAGAAGCAATCAAGGTTCAGGCACGTGAATAACTATCTTCCAAGCACTCCTATTTAAGGCTAAGTCTTTAGGTATATTCCATCCTTTCAAGTCTCCTTTTATTGTCTCTACCCAAGTCAACTTCGGTCTTCCTCTGCCTCTCTTCACGTGACTATCCTGGGTTAGGATTCCACTACACACCGGTGCCTCTAGGGATCTCCGTTGCACATGTCCAAACCATCTCAACCGGTGTTGGACAAGCTTTTCTTTAATTGGCGCCACCCCTAATCTATCACGTATATCATCGTTCTGAACTTGATCCCTTCTTGTATGACCGCAAATCCAACGCAACATACGTATTTCTGCGACACTTAGCTGTTGAACATGTCGTCTTTTCGTAGGCCAACATTCTGCACCATACAACATAGCAGGTCTAATCACCGTCCTATAAAACTTGTCTTTTAGCTTCTGTGGTACCCTTTTGTCACATAGGACACCAAACGCTTGCCGCCACTTCATCCACCCTGCTTTGATTCTATGGCTAACATCTTCATCAATATCCCCGTCCCTCTGTAGCATTGATCGTAAATATCGAAAGGTATCCTTTCTAAGCACTACTTGACCTTCCAAACTAACATCTTCCTCCTCCCGAGTAGTAGTGCCGAAGTCACATCTCATATACTCAGTTTTAGTTCTACTGAGTCTAAAACCTTTGGACTCCAAAGTCTCCTGCCATAACTCCAGTTTCTGATTCACTCCTGTCCGGCTTTCATCAACTAGCACTACATCGTCCGCAAAAAGCATACACCAAGGGATGTCCCCTTGTATGTCCCTTGTGACCTCATCCATCACTAAAGCAAATAAATAAGGGCTCAAAGCTGACCCTTGATGTAATCCTATCCTAATCGGGAAGTCATCCGTGTCTCCATCACTTGTTCAAACTCTAGTCACAACATTGTTGTACATGTCCTCAATGAGCCTGACGTACTTCGTTGGGACTTTATGTTTGTCCAAAGCCCACCACATAACATTCCTTGGTATTTTATCATAAGCCTTCTCCAAGTCAATAAAAACCATGTGTAGGTCCTTCTTCTTCTTCCTATACCGCTCCATAACTTGTCTTATTAAGAAAATGGCTTCCATGGTTGACCTTCCGGGCATGAAACCAAATTGGTTCATAGAGACCCACGTTATTGCTCTCAAGTGATGCTCGATAACTCTCTCCCATAGCTTCATAGTATGGCTCATCAAATTAATTCCTCGATAATTAGTACAACTTTGAATATCCCCTTTATTCTTGTAGATCGGTACCAATATACTTCTCTTCCACTCATTAGGCATCTTGTTCGATCGAAAAAGATGGTTGAACAGCTTGGTTAGCCATACTATAGCTATGTCCCCGAGGCATCTCCACACCTCGATTGGGACACCATCCGGTCCCATCGCCTTATCTCCTTTCATCTTTTTCAATGCCTCTCTGACATCAGATTCTTGGATTCTCTGTACAAAGCGTCTATTGGTGTCATCAAAAGAGTCATCCAACTGAAAGGTTGTGTCCATATTCTCACCATTGAACAATTTGTCAAAATACTCTTGCCATCGATGTCGGATCTCATCCTCCTTCACCAAGAGATGCTCCCTTTCATCCTTAATGTACTTAACTTGGTTGAAGTCCCGTGTCTTTCTCTCATGAACCCTAGCCATCCTATAAATGTCCTTCTCTCCTTCCTTCGTACTCAAATGTTGGTAAAGATCCTCGTACGCTCTACCCTTTGCCACACTTACAGCTCGCTTTGCAGTCTTTTTTGCCACCTTGTACTTCTCTATGTTGTCCACACTCCTATCATGGTACAAGCGTCTATAGCATTCTTTTTTCTCCTTAATAGCCCTTTGAACTTCCTCGTTCCACCACCAAGTATCTTTAGCCTCGCCTCCACTTCCTTTGGTTACTCCACACACCTCTGAGGCCACCTTCCGAATGTTAGTTGCCATCTTCTCCCACATGTTGTTTATGTCGTCTTCTTCCTTCCAAGAGCCCTCTTTGATAACCCTTTCCCTGAATACCTCTGACGTCTCCCCTTTCAATTTTCACCACTTTGTTTTTTCAATCTTAGCTTGTTTATCCCTACGGACACGCACCTGAAAACGAAAATCTACCACCAAAAGCTTATGTTGAGAAACAACACACTCCCCTGGTATCACCTTGCAATCCAAGCATGCTCGTTTGCCCTTTCTTCTTGCGAGGACAAAGTCAATCTGGCTACAGTGTTGTCCGCTACTGAAGGTCACTAGATGAGATTCTCTCTTTCTAAAGAAAGTGTTGGCTATCATCAGGTCAAAAGCTACCGCGAAGTCCAGAACTTCCTCCCCCTCCTGATTCCTACTACCATACCCAAAACCTCCATGAACTGCCTCGAAACCTGCGCTTGTAGTACCTACATGCCCATTAAGATCTCCTCCTATAAAAAGCTTCTCACTACTAGGTATAGCTCTAACTAGGTCATCTAATTTTTCCCAGAACTGTCTCTTAGCACTCTCATCGAGGCCTACTTGGGGGGCATACGCACTAATTACGTTCAAGACCATATCACCAACGATAAGCTTGACTAAGATAAGCCTATCTCCTTGCCTTCTCACTCCCACCACACCATTCTTGAGGCTCTTATCAATCAAAACTCCTACTCCATTTCTATTCGCGACTGTCCCTGTGTACCAAAGCTTGAAACCTGTATTGTCCACCTCCTTCGCCTTCTGACCCTTCCATTTAGTCTCTTGAACGCATAATATATTTACACGCCTCCTAGTCACGGTATCAACTAATTCTCTTAACTTACCTATAAGTGACCCTACATTCTAACTACCTAAATGGATCCTAGTTGGTTCGACTAGCTTCCTTACCCTTCGCATCCGTCGACTCAGATGCGAAGACCCTTGCTCATTTTTCACTACACCCGGGCGCCGATGTAGCGCGCCACTAAGGAAGCGATGACCCGATCCTTGCTCACTTGACACCATGCCTAGATCACGACACGATGTGTCACGGGGGTGATGACCCAGCCCTTCCCATTTAACACCATACCCGGGTTCCGATATGGCGCGTCGCTAAGAGGGTTACGCCCCAAGGATTTTCTTTCGGGTTTCATCTCCATTAAAGTGGCTAAGTTTTTACATTGGCTCGCCACGCCTAACACAACCCTCCTCCTTTACCAGGGCTTGGGACCTGTTATGCTGGGACACCAAAGGCGCCCCACCATAGGCGGAGTTGAATTAAACCCAGACAATGAATGGAAGAAAAGTGGTTCCAATGGGAGTTTGCGTGGCAAGATGGGGAAGAAGAGGGGGAGACCACCCACAAAAAGGCAACTAGAGGAGTTTGATGATGTTGCATGAGGCGGATGGATGAAATGGGAAGAATAATAGTGAGGACAACTTCAGCTTGAGATAACACCAGACAAGTAGTGGTAACATTAATGATACTCTGGACTCGTGGTTGCAATTATCTAGTGAGGTCTGATGTACTTGTACCAGAACCCAGCATTGGTTACTGGAATATATGGCTTACTAGAAGAAAAATTAAATAATGGCTATAAGCGCAAAACCAGTATAGTAGAGACGTAGGTTACAATAGACAGCTGCTTTCATACTAGATTTGCGTAACAGATATAATGATTTACTCAAATTTGGTTACCATACACAGTGACCATAAGTCAAAAATAAGCATTTGTTTGGTTTGTTAGATGACAGGGGATAGGTTTGGACGAACCTGGTTTTTGAGGTGTTTGGATCTGGGACTTGAAAAATAGGGGATAGGTTTGGACGAACCTGGTTTTTGAGGTGTTTGGATCTGGGACTTGAAAAATAGAGTGCTTGTAGACGAGCATATTCTCCGTAAATGTAGGTCAAATCTGTCCTTGGAAACGAAGTAATCGATCCATCCCTTTTCATCAGAGTTCCCTTCCATCTTCGGATCACTCGTCTTCCTCTCGCTGCATGCTGCGCCCGGGCTCGGCCCCTCCGGCCATTTTAGGCTGGGTAACCCATGATTGAGCTGCGGTTGTCCCTTCCTGTAGGGATGTGGCAGGGCCGCGGAGAGCGGGAGCGAAGCGGTGAGTGTGTGGTAAGCATATTTACGACAATAGTATGAATACGTTGCAGTAATAAATATTTATGAGAATTTGTACTGAGAAATTTTTACAAGATTTTGCACTAAGAATAGTTACGAGAACTTACAGTAATATTTACAAGAAATATTTTGCACTGAGTCACATATTTGATAGCGTAAGAAATATAACTTTAGACTGATTTAAAAAATAAAAAATATGATAAATAATTAACAAGAAACATGTAGCTTATTAAAAAATGTTTCCAGGTTATAATATGATTAAAAAATACAGTATAAAAATATTACTAAATCCCAGAGGAAACTTAAACAGTGGTACATATAACAGAAAAAAATATCTTGATAAACTAACAACTCTAGTATTCTGTAAGACCAAACTTAATTAACACATGGAAACAATAAAACAAAGCAAGTATTCTCAGAGATGGTCACGCCTGACTAGATCAAGAAAAAACAAAAAAAAAGGTGTACAGTGAAATTACATGAACATCGAAAGGGGATCGGATTTAAAAAAACTGTGATGGTCGGGTGAATGGGGATTGAGCGGGGATGGATGAGATGCAGTAATCAAATAAACTGTGATTTAAAGGGGATTTAACAGGGATGGATGAGATGCAGGCACCAAAGACCTCAGGGATTGGCTCAGCACTGGAGACTACCTTGGCAATCTGGATGGAGATGGTTGGGTCGCCGCTGCACTGCACCGTACGCTTGCGCTGGAGACCTTCCTGTAG